AGGAACATCACGAGAGTGTAAAGTACCATGAAATAAGTGAGGGCACTTTATTCCATACCCCACTCAAATCAGCATGTTTTTTTTCCTTTTTTTTTTCTTTTTTTCATTTCATGCAACCTGTTGTGTTATAATATACAATTTCTTTATTAAGACCGTCACAGCACAACTAAACTATATAACTATATGTTTTAATGAAGAAGCAGCATAATGTTATTACAATGTAACGTTCGATATTAAATTACGTTTGTAACTGATGCAGTTAAAGCCAATGTATACACGTTTGCTTAAGATGGTGTCTAACACCACCTGTAAGCGTGCATTACTGCGGTCTCACATTTCCTTTGGTAATTAATTAAAATCAAATACTTTAATTAAACAATAAGAGTATACTTCATTTAAAAAACCAAGAGATATTCCATTGAATATAACATTCATATCATCCTGATGACAAGCACATTTTCATACAATTTACAGTGGCTCCACGATTTAATGATCGATGGTGTGACATAGTAAGCCCCCAACTTCGCCGCGCCATAGCTCAAGCAGTTAGTCGCTGGCTTCCCACCGCGGCGGCCCGGGTTCGATCCCGGGTGTTGTCAAGTGTTATTTATGGTGAACAAAGTGGCGCTGGGGCAGGTTTTCTCCGGGTACTTCGGTTTCCCCTGCCAATCTTTATTCCACCAATTGCTCCACAATCACCCTCATCTATCATCTGGGGTTAGTACAATAGGCCAGAAGTGGCCGCAGTACAAGGGACTTAGTCCCACCCCACTAGCAATAAAAAAAACGCTAACTCGGGCAATTATAACACTGACGGAAAGACGCAGCAATCGCACGTCAGACAAGGGAGTCTAGCGTTAGACAGAACTGCCAGGCCATTCACTTACAACGCAGAGTGCCTGGCAAACTCGCGGCTGTTGGTGAACGCTGTTTCGGGGCGGACCATGCTCAGAGCTGGTATGAAGCATCATTAAATTACGGTGAGACTATAGTAATAGCCTCTACGAAACATGCACAGTTACGATTCCTCTAATGCGTATGTGTGCCACGGAGGGCACCCGATCTCTTTTAAAGCCGTCGTTTTCCGCAGTGCATAAGTTCATCTGTTGATATCTCACGAACAGCTTATAGGTACGTTTCTGTGGAATTACTCGTATATTTCTGGATGTAAGGAAATAATAAACGTGTTACAAAAATGAAGAAAGTCGTTCTGGGTTTTGGCGCCGTGTATTCGTTTTGGCTGACGTTTCGGAGGAACGTCAGCCAAAACGAAGAATACACGGCGCCAAAACCCAGAAGACGACTTTCTTCATAGTCATCGCCGTGAAAATCTCAAAACTTACATAGTCTTACAGAAATGTTTACCAGGTGCTTTGGGTTCGAGTCAGGACACCTTGAATAAATGTTACTGTTAACGGAACCTATTCAAGATGCCTCACTATTGGAGATTCTGTTTCATATATAAAAAAGGCAAAGTTTTCCTTGTGTTTACTTAATTAAGCTGAACACCATGCAGTATATATGATAAAATAAATGTTTCATAACATTTCACAACTTAAGCAGAAAGAGTCTATTTGTCCCTCCTAAGCGTGGATCTAAAGCGCTTTCTGTATACGGAACTGTCGATATTGTAAATTCTTGTAACTGAAACATATAATGATACACTTTTCGACAATATACGGCAATGAGGCCTACCTGTCTAGTTGAACAAAAAATTACATTTTCAGAATATCACTTTTAAATGCATATCTTTATGTAAATATGGAACAAAATTCACTGAACCTTCTGGGTAGGACCTATTTTGCATTTAATTCATTTCGTAGTAACCCTGAGACTGGTCACAATAATGACTATGAAAGTGAATCCTTGTAATGAGGAATGGATATCTTATTTTTGTGTTTTCTCATCTTGTTAACTTTCAAGCGAAGCATAAACCGGTTCTAAGTAATGTAAATAGAACGATCATATGTTATGAAATCGTAAGGACTGTGATGATATGAAATATTATGAATGTCAGAATGTCAACTTACCATTTGTGACGAAGTTTTTGGTTTCTGATTTATGTTGGAGACACTCTGACTAGCTGTAACAGAGAAAACACATTACGTTAATCGTCATAGCGGGGATTTTTTTTTTGTTAATGTCTATTACATCACATTTCGGTACAAAGAATATATAGATATTAAAGGTTTCGGTTTCCGAAAATTTAAAGGCGTTTAAACCTCGATATATCAGATGAATTTCAGTGCAGACACAACTTGCTTGTGAGGGGGGGAGGGGGGAGTTATTCTACACATTCTTCTCCGTAACTTTTGAGAACTTGTCTGCAGATTTGCACAAGTCTCCATAACACGAACTTAACTACAAGCTCCACGGATAATTTACGGTGCCTGCTTTCCTTCGGATATTTCGATTTTGAAATTAACTACAAATTAAGAATTACGTATGTCAGGTATAATCTCAAAATTCTGCAATGTGGCCAAGCTTGTAAACAATATTTTTAACTAAATTTGTAGCTATGTTCACGATCTGTCTCCTTACAAACATTCGCATTTCTCCGCCAAGCTTAGAGCTAACTACTGATTTCACGTGGTCACCATGTCGCTATTTTACATGTCTTAGAAATTAAATTTACAAATACTGCATGTTTATTCAAAATCTATAGAGGTAAAAGTAAAAAAAAAGGTAAAGTTGTCTATATGCTCAACTAATTAAGCACTGCACCACATTTTCTTGACCTCGGCACTAGTTGGAGGTGAGTGGTCAGCTTCACGTCCCGGCCGCCTTACCCCCGGGGAGAGAGCTGTACCCGGTACCCATTACATAGGAGGTTGGGTGAACCCCAAAGCCGGTCTGTACGACGTAGAGAAGATAAAATTCTCGACTCTACCGGGACTCGAACTCCGACCTCTTGGTCGTCCAGCCCGTAGCTAGTCACTATACCGCCTACACTATCCCATCTCACATTCAAGATCTATAGCCACATAAAATTTATGACTCTACATCCACTGTAGCTAATTTCACCCCCTCCCCCAAGCTCACAAGTTCACACATCCACAATTTTGGCCAGAAAGTAAAAAGGTACAAACGTGTCGTGTCCTATAGCGACGTGATGATCATTCGTAAGGATCCGTCAACTGTTTCAGAAGTTATTAGAAGGGAATGGACACACATTATGATACCACAAGCCTAGCTTTTCTTACAAAATTGGGAAGCAGGCACTCCAAACCCATGTTCAGTGAGTCAATGCATGTGTAAACCGCCTGTGTATTCATGTTAATCGCACTGTCGCCATGATTGTAGTATCATTCTTAATGTTCATTAGTACCTTGGTCATGAATGATGCAGATGTGGAAGAAGGTGACTGTGGTTTATTTTAGCATAATATCTCACTATATGCCCAGAGAGAATGAGGAAAACACAAAAGTTCTTGGTCATGATAGTCGGTCACATGCCAAATTCACCATTTCCCTAATATGAAGCACTACAGGCTTACCAAGCACTCGACAATAACATTAGGTATTTTCACTTTACGTATAATGAAATATATGACCGCCTCTGTGGTGTAGTGGTCAGAGTCCCTGGCCACAGGTCCAGAGGTCCCGGGTTTGATCGCCGGCGCGACCAGATTTCCTGAGAAGTAGTGTGTCTGGAACGGGGTCCACTGAGCCTCATGAGGATACTTGAGGAGCTATTGCAAGAAAATAGCGGCTCCGGTCTAGAAAACCGAGATTAACGGCCGTGGGGATTCGTTGGGTGACACCCTCTATCCGCTAAAGTTGGCACTAACTTCGCCGACAAGCGGGTCGCTCGGTCGGTATAGTTCGCTTGCGGCCTAAAACCACGGAGTTTGTTTTAATGAACTGTATATATGTCTATATGATAGCAGAGTATGTGGGTATGGGTCTTTCTTTTTGAAAATGCTCACCTGCTATAAGTGGAACTCAGTATGAATGAATCTATCGCTGTTGTATATGCCCGTCTTAGTACACTTACGGCAGCCTTAACGAATTGTGAAGGTTGCAGAAATGTTAATGTCTTACATACATTACATAAAAAATAAAATTCTGTTGATGAACATTTTGTAAAATGGAATACAGGACCGTGGTGACAGAACGACACAGAACTAATACAATACAACAGGTTACACAGACATGTATGTGCGTGTGTTCATGAGCGCCAGTGCGACGGAGGGCGAACCTCTGTTTATGCTGACAAATTGCGCTTAATGAAGGTCAATGTAACAAAAAAGACCATTACGCTAATTTCAATACGCATGACCTCACTGTTAGGGTTGCGGAGTGGAGGGGGGTGTCGGGGTACCTCTGTTCGTACAGCAACTAGGCTACAGAGTTATCAACTGAGGAACTTGAGTTCGATTCTCAGCAGGGTCAAACAATTTTTCTCTTCGCCACGACGTCCAGATTGGCTTTGAATTCTTCATAGTCACCGCCGTGAAAACCTGAAATCTTACAACTTTAACTGTTGGCTTCGTATCTCCTGCCTCCTCTTTATGAGACTCGTGCAATGACTGACATTATTAGATCTGAGCACGCGGTAGCGTAGTTGCTTGAGGCACTATGTTACAAGCAGGAAAGTAAAGGTTCGATTCCCGATGATGTCATTGAATTTTTCAATTAACCTAATCCTTCCAGCCGCACTATGGCCCTGGAGTTGATTCAGCGTCTAACAGAAATGAGTACCAGGAATCATCCTGGGGTTGAAAGCCGACCGGCGCCTAAGGCTGACAGCCTCACCGCCATCTGTGAGTTGACTATAGAAAATGTGGGAGTCTCGATGTCTTACGACCCTAATGGGCCTCCACGACCTGTTACAGGGATAGCTTTACTTTTTTACCTTAAAAGGGAGCTGATCTGCACAGCATGCCTGAGAATATGCACATATGGAGAGAAAAAAGAAGGAAAGCGTAAGAAATACGGAAGGAAGAATGGAATAAAGGAAGGAAAGTGGAAAGAAAGAGAAGGAGAGATAATAAAGAATGTAAGAGGGAGTCCTCGATACACGATACTTACTGACAGCTTCAATGATGTCGGCAAGGAGAACTCCGTCACACACGTCAGTCTGCAGGTCGTGGATCAACCTCTTGTTGCGAGTTCTGCACAAGTAGTGGTTCGCCCAGTCTGTGTACACCTGCACAATAAACCCGCTTCTCAGTTACTGTGGACCTCACTGTGCTACATACTTCAGAATCGAAGCGTGACTCTAAGACATAAAATTGTCGTTTACAGACATACAATTATATATCAAATCACTATTTTCTCATGGAGCCCTTGTTTTTACTTGAAAATATTCCAGTAACCTATAAATATCATCAAATTACCTGTCTAAATATCCTCACCAAGTAATCACACAACAGAAATCAGTGCTCTATTAGATGACAATGAAATGTTAAGAGTTTACTGTATGAGAAGGAACGAGTATATGCAGTTGAAAGGTTAGCACTCCTACTTCATATTACAGAGGTCCAATCCTGGCCCGAAAGCCGGTTATTCTGTCTGAGGTTGTTCGAGATTTTCCTCAGTGTCTCCAGAAAATATTTGTGACAAAATAAAAGAGGCTGCAAACATTTCAGTTCACACCCACCGCAAATCGCCTTTTACTATCATCCTGTTACCAATGCTGTCTACATGGATAACCAATGCTAAGAAAGCACCGCTAAGTAACCAGTGTTTCATAAAAATCGGTCAGTTCAGTAGTTATTAGGACGGGAGACACACGGACATGATGCTATCATGAATCTATATTCCTTCATAAAATAATACTTCTCTATTTCCTCGAAGTAATTCGGTTCGAAGTTGTATTTGTGTTTCTTTTAAGTCGTAATTGTTTTATTTGGAATCAGATGCCCTATAAAAAGAGGATTCTTGCATTTGTTTCCAGTTTACTGTCGATCTTAACGGGCCGTTATCTATTATAGTTAAATAAACAGTCAGCCAAACTAATTTAATTTTAGGGAGACCCTCTTCAGAAGCAGATGGTTGCTTTCTTAGATTTTTTTAGAAACACGGCACTTAAAAAAATCGTCACTCACTTACTCATGGAGCTGAGCCCTTCTTGAGAAACTGCCAATTGTGCAGCTATTAAAGAACTTCCCAGCATTTTATGGAATAGCAAGGTTCATTACCGTGTTCACAAGAGCCATCCACTGATCCCTATCCTGAGCCAGATCAATCCAATTCATACCATCCCGTCCTATGTCTCTAAGATACATTTTAATATTGTCCACCCCTTTACGCCTTGGTCTTTCCAGTGGTCCCTTCCATTCTGGCTTTCCCATGAATATCCTATATGCATTTCTCTTCTCCCCATTCGTGCTATATGCCTTTCCCAACTATCCTCTTAACTTTATCATTCTAATTATACTCGGAGAAGAGTACAAGTTATGAAGCTCCTCATTATGCAGTTTTCTTTAACCTCCTGTCGCTTTATCCCTCTTCAGTCCAAATATTCTCCTCAACGCCCTGTTCTCAAACACCTCAGTCTATGTTTCTCCCTTAATGTTAGAGTCCAAGTTTCATACCCATATAGAACCACAGGCAAAATTTAGTTTTGAATATTCTAATTTTTATGTTTTTGGACAGCTGACGAGAAGACAAAAGGTTCTGGACTGAATGGTAGCAAGCATTACCCGAGTTCAGGCTCCTCTTAATTTCCTCCTCAATCAGGGTTTGATTTGTTACAGCCATTCCGAAATCTCTGAACTGTACCACATTTTCAAAACATCTGTTACCTGTCTTTATGTCATGATGTTGCTTAGCTGTTCAGAAAAATTCCCCGCCTCTTACGAAACTCGGGCCCGCTACTGGACTCTATCATGAGTTAGACTAATTCAGTCCATAATTTCACACATTTAATATTGTCCTACTATCCACACCTGGGTTTCCGAAATAATATCTTCTCTTCTGGACTTCCTACTAATTTCTATATGCACATCTCTCCCATACATGCTACATGTCCGACCCACCTCATTATCTTTCATTTTATGATCCTGATAATATTTGGAGGAATACAGAAATCACAAAGCTCCTTCTGATTCCAGGCAGTTTTTGCTGAACTAAGGGATGTCTTTCTATTGCTGTTGCTTTACCTGTATGATGGGCCCGTGCTTCCTCGGCACGGCGGCCTGCTGCTTAAGGAGGTCGTCGGTGGAGCCCTGGGGCGACCGCACAGCCCGGATGCACGCCATGGCGGTTATCCCGGATTATTTTCATCTACAGCATTTGGCACACACACAACAATGTTTCTACAATTTCCAGAAACTCACAACATCACTTTCGCTGCACTGCTCCACGAGGTGCTTCGTTTTCCAGCGTTTCCGTACAAGTTCCGAGTCTGAGACTCGCGGCCCAAAATGGGTCGTGGAAACATATTTCTGGTAGGACATGTAAAGAAGATTCAGTTTATACATTTGTACGTAAATATGTTTGGAATACGGAAATTCGCGGTCAAGTGGTTACCACTCCTGTTTCACATTCGGAAGGTCTGAAGCTCTAATCGCGGCTCCAAGAGCGGTTATCCTGACTGAGGCCTTTCATGGTTTTACCTCAGCCGCTCTGAGCAAGTACTGCGGTAGTACCTCAAATTTGACCAAATCAATTCTTTCAACTCATTGTTCACTACTCGAACCACCGCTGAACGCCACATAACATGCGTTGTTTACAGCATCGCCAACAAAAAGTATATCAACATAGCCCGTTGAGAATACAGCATACGGTTCTACACGGAACGTTATGGGTTTGGGTATAGCTTGGTCTCCCTAAGATATAAGCGTACCATTTCCTGCTTCTGTAAGCATCGTCACAATACGGGGATCCTAAGAGCATAAATATTGTGACGAATATGACCACTGTTGGGTAACGGTTCAGTAAGCACGTTCCCGCTGCAACGAATAGACTCGGAATAGTCCATTTCTTGGCAACGGTTCGGTAAGCACGTTCCCTCGGCAACGGATAAACACAAAAAGTAGAACAACAGACGAAATGTAAGACATGATGACTTATATTCGGTTCGCCCAGAAGTCAAGTTTACGACCGTTCAAGTGACTAGGCTGCCGTTGTAGCGTAAGATGATGGAGATACACATGTTCGGACATATTGTACCCTGCAACGCCAGTACTGACAGAGGACTTGTTTCAAGTGCAAAGGAAGAATTTTCAGTGACATGGTATATGTGCGAAATGTACATTGACGAAAGGCCAAGCAAACCTATCTTCTCGTCAGAAAGGATGTTTCATAAGGATTATTACTGCAAGGGTTCAGTTGAGAGAAAATTTCTCTGGTCGTGGGTCTCAAGGGGCTTGACGCCAAGACGAATTGATTGGCGGTAAACTGCCAGGCGTAAAGTAACTCTGATTTTGACTTTGATTCGCGAGTGAGCCTTCGTTCGGCATTCGGCATTCGTAAGAGAGTTGAGTGTTCAGGTGTGGAGTGTTAACACCAGCGGACAACGGAAGCTGAAGAAGTGACCAACTCGTAAATCAGAATCAATTCAGTCACACGAGAAAGAGAAGACACTCGTAGTCCTTTATGGAATGGAGCGAGTCTTGGACAGTCATTGATTGTGATCTGTTATAATTGATTGTAATTGTGTCAATAAATCCAATCATCCCATCCAGAACCCTTATGTCAGTCACGTAAACCCCTCAAACGTGACAACATTTAAACAGATAGATCCTTCACACAAAACTTCAGGAAGACAAAATTTTAATTTAGGCGTTCTTTATAAAGGAAAAACAATGCCTTATATGGAGTCCATATTTGTCAATCTGCTTGTAAACTAGTGTGTCTTAGCTGTTGGACAGACTCTTTTAAAATTTTATATGGTAGACTTTCACTAACATCTGTCGGACAATTCCGATATTAAGCCACAGTGACCCATAATAAAATTCACTTAGGGCTGTATCATAAAGCCTAAATAAAATTGTATAAACAGGCTGCACGTGAGTAAGGAACGCCATGGGAAACTTGTGTGCTACATCATGACGATCACCCTGTCAAATTTTATTGAAGACCCTAGATTCGAGTATGTAAAGGTACTGTGACATGACGCTCGAAAACCGGAATAGTGAAGGCAGAAGAGACATCCATTACTAGGCAAAGGACTGGGTAAACACATTCCCGCGGCAACTAATACGCAAGCAACAATCGAATAACTTCCGTTGTTATGCAACGGCGTTGTAGACACGCCGTCTCAACAATAAAGAGGCTGTGTTTTCTGTGTGGTCCATGCAAAGTAGTTATAAAGAAAAATTCAGTTGAGAAGAGTCCAGTCGAGGTTCGAGACGCCAGCCTGCCAGGATATGAGCTTGTGAGCAGAGGAATTGAACTGAGTCGAGTCTTAGGAACTGGCATATGCAGAATAATTGCGAGAAAGAAATCAGGCTGTCAAAGGAAGACTTCATATGTGATTCGAAGTAACCGTGAGACTGTTATTAGATCCGTTGCCAGGATACGGCTAGTGAAGACTGAGAACCCTAGTGCGTGTGTAACGGTGAACTGTAGTGTGTGGAAATAGCAGTAGTGCTGTATTGCCTGTAGTCCCGAGTTGTGTGAATAAGGTGTCAAAAATTCAATCCTCCAACAAAAAACCGGCCTTATAAGTCATGCGCAAACCCCTACATATGGCAATATAAAACGACCATCAAATACATATGCAAATTTTGAAAATGAATGTCCAAGAATAATTGTTATATCAAATACATTTCGAGGTTTCACCATACAAAGTTTGAGGGAGACATGTAGGTACACACGTACCTCAACATATGCATGTATAGGGGCCTACGCTTATAGTTATCATTAGTATAAATGACATCGAATGTCAAAAAGTTCTCATGACAATAACTCTGCAGTTTTATTTAGTGAATTTAATGAAATGGCGATTGGATCAGAAGAATGTTCATGGATAATTTTTCTACACAATAGATAAAATTAAAGCATAATGGGGGGGAGGAGTACTGAACTTTATTAATTTTCTCAAAAACGAGTCCGCGAACAAAGGCTTGTCACATGACATAAGATACTGATATAGACAGTGTTTACTTCAGACTTGTTTCGATATGCTGAACATGAGAGGGAGAGAAGGTGCACATCTGACTTCAAGCAATGCGATTAACTGTGAAACGTTGAGTTTGTACCTGCAATAAACGAATATCGGGGCCAATTACGTATACAAAATCGCAAAATAAAGCATTTGGGAAATATATGTACCCCAAAGGTACATTCTTGTTCCTTTCGAGAAACAATCATGTTGGCTGCACTTTCCTGGTGAGAGTTTTCTCTGTCAGAGGAGAGCTGTAGTTCATTCCTGTTTATGTTTCTTTGAGGTATAATTTAATTTTATAACTATAAATCTATAGCCTGTAACTGAACTGTAAAACTTCGTGTAACCAAATCGAAAATACCTCAGAAAGAAACGAAACGAACTCTTTTTAATTACTTGGGCTCAGTTGATTCGGTAACTTGTCCTGAATTCGGTCCACAGTGACCAGCTGAGTGGTCAAGAAATGCCCATATCCGAAAATAAGGCGCTCGATAAAGATATTATAAAAAGGTGAAAAGCTTGGTTATGTCTATTTCTTTTTATACGACAGATTCTCAATACAAAACCGTGGGGAGATCCCAAGGGTGGCACGTGGAGGTTATAAATTTAGCTTCATAAATGTAGACCGTGAAGGAGTTTTATAGGGTAGAGAAGAAGCTCAAAATAAATTGTCTCAGAATTAAGGTGTAATAAACTATGGTAAACTTCCTGTCTAGAGACAATACAAAGAGATCCCCATTTTGGACTGTACATGATTAAACTCGTTCTTAGTGATTTTGAATACTTAACTGATTAACGAACGAAACTGGTCACAAGCACCTTGAATATTATGTTACTTCCTTAATGTGACAGACCAAGGATCACATCCATATAGAACTACAAGTAAATTAACAGTTTTAAGTACTTTAATTTTTAAAATTCCAGGTAGCAGATGGGAAGAAAATATATTCTATATCAAATGGGCGTAAAAATTTCTAGAAAATAACGTACTCTTAATTTCTTTGTTAATGCCGGTTTGATTTGTTATTGTCATTCCCGAGTATTTAAACTCTGCCGCTTTTTCCAATGATGTTTTACTTATGTTTAAATCATGGGTTTATCATTTTAGTTTTCATTTGTTTCTAGACAAACCTCCTTACTAAATCTAATATAGGGCTACTCTGATTTTATTTGTGGTACACATGTTTCCCCCCCTCCCCCAGTACGTAAACAATATCAGCATAAGAGACAATCTGATGTAACCCATAAAATTTTAATTCCTTCTGGTTCTCTTGGACCTTCCTGTGGGCGTATTCTAGACCAGAGTTTAAAAACATAATGGCGGTAAAGCGTCTCCGTCCTTCAAACCGTTCTGAATAGGCAACATACACTAATTTTCTGAGGCACTATGCTACAAACCGGAAAGTGGCGAGTTAGATTCTCGATGAGGTCACTGGATTTTTTTCAATTGACCTAATATTTCCAGGAGCCGGGATAGCGTAGTCGGTATAGCGACTAGCTACGGGCTGGGCGACAGAGGGATCAGAGTTAGAGTCCCGGTAGGGTCAAGAATTTTCTCTTCCCAATGTCGTTCAGAACGACTCTGGGGCCCACTCAACCTCCTCTCCAATGGGTACCGGGGGCTCGTTCTCCGTGGTAAAGCGGCCGGGGCGTGAAGCTGACCATTCACCTCCAGCTAGTGCCGAAGTCAAGGAAATGCGGATCTATAAATAAACTACATCCCATACGTCTTCATGGCGTAGTGTTTAATTAGTTAAGCATAGGGACAACTTCACCTTCACGTTACCTAATCCTTCCAGCCGCACTATGGCCCTGGGGTCTACTCAGCCTCTAACACAAATGAGTACCAGCAATCTGATAAGGCTGACAACCTCACCGTCATGGGTGAGCCGAATATCTAGAAAATGTGGGAACCTTGATGTCTCACAAACCTATGGGCTTCCAAGGCCTGGTGGGGGGATAGGTTTACGTTTATTATTGTTATTGTTATTATTACTATTATACAGTATTGAGAACAGGGTCTATTTGGATATATTTGAAAACATTATTAAGGTGACTAAATTGAGGGTGAGAGTGACAGTGCATGTAGCACGTATAGAACAACTTATAAATGCTTACAGAATTTTAGTCCGTAAACCTGAAGAGAGGAGGCCACCCAAGAGCCGTAAAAATGTAGAGGATATCCTCAAAATACGTGTATATTCTGAGAGTGTTACTTTAATTAAACTGGACGAGATACGATCTAGTAGGGGGTTCCTGCGAATAAAATGACATCTCGGGTTTCATAGAAGGCTGGCAATTTCTTGAATATTTTTCTGTTATTATTCTGAGTGGGGTGAGACTGAGTCCACTTGGTACTGCGGCCACTACTGGCCCATTGTACCAGCCCCAGATGATAGATAATGGTGATTGTGGAGCAGTTGGTGGAATGAAGATTGGCAGGGGAAACCGAAGTACTCGGAGAAAACCTGCCTCAGCGCCACTTTGTGCACCACAAATCCCACTTGACCGGAGCCGGGCTCGAAACCGGGCCGTCGCGGTGGGAAACCAGCGACTAACCACCTGAGCCACGGCGCGGCCTGCTTCACTAGTTGGACGACTACCAATTTTTCAATAAAGATTCTGCTCTATGGTGATTCTCATCATTATAATAATCATCGCTCTTGTCATGCTTAGAGATTTCAGTCGTTGCCTGTAAATGACATGAATGCTGCTGTTTAATGAATAGTTTAAATGTGCAGTGAAATATAATAATAAGGATAGTTTTATGTTCATCTAGAGGAGAGGGTTATTGAGTTGCTTAAATGAAGGGTAAAATGTAAAGTTTTCCTCGAGTTCAAGCATGGAGCCATGACTGCATATAAGACTAGGTGGTAAAACTCCACTCTTTATTAACCTGGGCGCTAGATGAAGGTAAGTGACATGTCCCTTTTTCTCCTGGGCAAATAGACTCCGTTGCAGAGTAGCTATAAAAACCAGTTTATATGTAATAAAAACGGTTTTGTGGATTCAAATACAAAATAAAAACGGGCATCACTTTAAACCTACATGAATGACGCTGTTTTAATTCCGCAGTTGATAAACATTGTAAAATGAACGAATAATTATAATATCATATCAAGTGGGTTAAGCATACTTTTTACAGCCTTTTATAATTGTCGAATTGGATATTCTGATTTTGCATATGGTAACAAAATAACAGATTGCAGAGTTCACGTGCTATTCCTCAATCACATAAACAGGTATGTTTATACCCAACATACCCAAGCACTGTGTACAATTCTGAGAAGCGCATTCGACCAAAGGGTCACAGGTTCACAGCCCGAATTAACAGTAAGCATGGCTTGTTTCTAGCCATTCATTTTGACTGCGTTAAAAGTAGGCGCAGCGGCACACAACTACAGAAGTTTGAAAACTACTGCACAACTGGAAACAAGCGACGTTCGTTTGTGTTAACACGCGCGAGTCTGGCGCCTAACAGCACTGTGGTCGCGTGTCTATTTCCGTGCCCCCCCCCCAACTGCTTTCTCCTGTTTAAATTAGTATAACGAAAGTCCGTATATTGAATAAACCAAGTTTCGGTTTATAGTAGCAGTGTGCATATGAGTTTCACAAATTTATTGTTGACTCCTGTACCTGGTGTCAAAGTAGAGGGGGAAAAGCATAAGATCTTAACTCGCTATAGTGACTGGATAAGGACCCAACAACCGGGGTTCGATTTCCGACAGGGACAAAATTTCTTTCTTAGCCACCGCGTCCAGAACGGCCTACCCAGCCTTGTATCCTATACGTACCAGGTCCTCTTTTCAATGAGGCGAAGCGGCCAGAGGATAAGCCTATCTATTAAATTCCATGTTGGTCGCGCCATAGCTCAAGCGGTTAGTCGCTGGCTTCCCACCGAGGGGGCCCGGCTTCGATCCCGGGTCTAGTCAAGTGGGATTTGTGGTGGGCAAAGTGGCGCTGGGGTAGGTTTTCTTGAGTACTTCGGTTTCCCCTGCCAATCTTCATTCCACCAATTGCTCCACAATCACCCTCACCTATCATCTGGGGCTGGCACAATAGGCCAGAAGTGGCCGCAGTACAAGGGACTTAAGCCTCATCCCACTAGCAATAAAAAAAATCATGTAACGCCGAGATTAAAAATTAGAATTTTATTTACACTCTACCTGTTCTAGGCAGAGACATGACATTATCATAGATGATGCAATACAACAATCGACATAAGAATTATCTCACTCAGATTACGCCCTGTTACGGCTAAGTTCTGTGGTTACTGTTTTCACTTCCTCAGATTACGAAAATGTTAAAGGGTTCGGTGGTACATTAAGTGTACGAATAAGTTACAATATTTAAAGGGTCGAAAGAACCCTTTGGTGAAGAAGTCAACGTAGGCTAAGTATAGTGTGTAACTGATGTCATGTAAATAAATGCTTGTGAAAAATATTGGCTGTAGCATAATGCACAATCAATGTGTAAGCTGTTAAAAGTCTCCCAACATAAACAGCTAACTAAAACAATTCACACGTATCCTAAACCAATAAACGCAGTACTTATTGTTAGTAATTGCAATTATAATAATATCGTTAATTATAGAACATAAGCGTGAAAAATATTGACAAAATCAGGAAATCAGAGCTTAGAGCTGGAGAACTATCGTTAAATATAAATCACTGAATCTATTAACAACTTCAGAGATCTAAGATAATTTCTGGGTGTAATTCACTTCAGTAAAATGCATGTTTGACCGTTTAAGCTATTTTGTGAATTCGTCTAGCACAAAAAACCCTAACTATGTTCGTAAAAAAACCTACTGTATATTCAACTTTACCATTCAACCATCACTGAATGTTCCATTATAGATCAACCAGCAATTATCAATAATACTCAATTTTCGCGCGCACATATTAAATTTCACTTCACAACGGAGGTAGCTGTCAGACGACTTACAGGGCGGCACTGAAATATCAATATATGGAAGACAGAGAAAAGATTCGACCGTTCCTTAAACGAAGCGACATATATAGGACTCTCTCCATTCATCTGGCACAAAAACAAACATTTGTTTAGTCACAACATTGGAAACTGAAACAAAATTTGTATTGTTCAGACAGCTGCACGGTCGAGCTTGCAAACGGAAGTATACGTTATCAGTGCTGCCATAACCGACCGCAGTGCCTCCGCTACCAACTGCACGTAGTGGAAGCAGAATAGATACTAAAGCCAGTCTGCGTGAGCTGGCTTGATCCGATCCTGCATGTATTGAGCTAAAGATAGACTGGGCGGAGGCGAGATAGGGTGGTTCCTTCCAACACGTAAGAAACTGGGATGTCTTATGTGTTAGCAGCACGTGTGTCCCAGACACAACACGCGTTTACCACGCCTGGACCGGTTCGTCACTGATGCCTAGTTATTGACCCTTCCTTCTCCCTTCTAAATTCCTCTGATTCACCCTTCTGTCGTTACTCACGATACACCTGCCTAACCGGGAGTTACAAACACAGGCAACTTTCCATAAAGCAGTATACCACGACGAAGAATGCATAGAACGGCGTTTTACATAATGAAAAATGAAGAGAAAATTAAATTTAGGGAACGCTTATCAGCATTAAGTTCAGCGTCTCCTGTCATCTGGTCCCCTCTCTACAAATTCAGAGATTAGAACATACAAAGTTGTAATTTCGCCTGCTACTTCGTATGGAGGGGAGCCGGGATAGCTCAGTCGGCATAGCTACTGGCTACGGGCTGGACGACCGAGGGGTTGGAGTTCGAGTCTCGGTAGGGTCAAAAATTTTATCTTCTGAAAATCATCCAGACCGGATCTGGGGCTCACCCAGTCTCCTCTCCAACGGGGACCGGGGGCTCGTTCCCCGGGGGTAAAGCGGCAATGGCGTGAAGCTGACCACTCAACTCCAGCTAGTGCCGAGGTCAAGAAAATGTCGATCTATACATCCACTCCCCCATACGCCTTCATGACGTAGTGCTTAATTTCTTAAGCGCTGGGACACCTTTCCTTTTTTTTTTTTTGCTTCGCATGGATGTAAAACTTGTCTAACGCACAGCGGGAAGTACATAAATCGAGGGCTTTTGAGATCCAAGTGATCAGGATGACATATGGACTTAAAAGAGAGGAAGTGATGGGTGGATGGAGAGCACTACACGGTTAGGAGCTCCATAATGTACGTGTATAAGCTGCATCAAGCGCAGAGTACCTATATCGAAATTCATGCAATGAAAATGATGAGAGATGACTACTGATAGCAGTTTGGCTATGTCCATAGTATTAATGGGCGCCGATTAGGCCACACGGATGCAAAAAGTCATTGTAAAATTGTGGATGTACTTACCTCCTACATGCGCCCGCGCCATAGCTCAAGCGGTTAGTCCCTGGCTTCCCACCGTGGCGAACCGGGTTGGATCCCGGGGTCTGGTCAAGTGGGATTTGTGGTGGACAAAGTGGCGTTGGGCAGATTTTCTCCGAGTACTTCGGTTTCCCCTGCCATCTTCAATCCACCAATTGCTCCACAATCACCCTCACCTATCATCTGGAGCTGGTACAAAAGGCCAGAAGTGGCCGCAGTACAAGGGACTTAGTCCCACCCCACTGGCAATAAAAAATACCTCTACATGTCATATAAACTGGATCAATGTATTCGTTTCGTCTCCGTTAAACACCCAATTACCTCCTATACGTGCACCGATTGTATTTTTTAACTGGTTCGTGGTATAAAATCTGCGTACTGCGAAATGACATTGTATTTAGTGTCCCATGTGAAGTACTGATAACAATAATAAATCTAAACATCGTTATATGGGAACTTGTATTATTGTACTTGCACAATATCCGATAAAAGGTGCGCATAAAATTACCTTTAGAATGCACATTATAGAAAGAAAGAGGGATATACTTTATTTGGATACAAATTTTCTCAAGAAAGGCCAGTTCGACTAACCCTGGGATCAGAACAGGCCAAAAGGTCTAGTCCTTACAGATAATGGTGATGATAATTTTGCTCCAAGGCTGACGAAAGAATGCAAGTGTTCTAACTTTGAATAGCACCGTCTTTATTGCTCTTCCAGCGGTTTATCTAGTTATAGTTAGCCTATCCAAGCTCCGAAATCGCTATCCGCTCATTGCAATAAAATGTAGGTGATTCCCATTAATGCGGGGGAAAAAACAATCCGTTATTTAATACAAGATATCGTATCAAGTTCCTCCTCGCATTCTCTGATCTGTAATATGTCATCTACACGTATTATAGCTGGAGCATCGTACCCGCAAGTAGGCCTACCCATGGCCGACGTATCACTGCCGAGAGACTGTGTCGATTGGACTATCATAGGGCATTATAGATTATTTAGGATATCTGAATAGATCAGTTACTTTTATGTAAAACTGGATTGTTTGTTAAAACACAGTAAAAAATTGCTTCAGAAAAATGTTTGTCAGTTTTTTCGTGTTTCGGTGGCAAAATATGCCTTCATTATTTGGCTGACGTTACATGTAATTCAGTGAAATCTTTATTTTTTAGTTAATTTCTGCAAAACCGATAATGTACATTCATTTCCTCTGTCTCAAGAGTTTATGGAAATGTTTTCACAAAAATCTCTCCCCTAAAACATAAAGAACATAACCTCCTGTCTATGAACCAACCACTGGAATTTCAGCCATCTAAAATTTACGAGATAAGGGCTTATCCACTGCCGTAGTAGATGTGAAGTACCGTGAAAAAAATGTGACGTAACAACCAAGGTCAGCTGCAACATCCGACAATGCGTTATTAATGACCCGTCCTAACTGATTAAACCTAAGGAATTTATAACGCGTTATCCCGTTTACGCTCCGAAAGTCACTGATCTCAAACAATCTAGAACTGAGTTTTTTTAGTTCTGATATATAAGCAGAACGCTAAGGATCTAGTTATTTCTGTTTGCAGTGTAAACAAACGTGGCAATCGATTTAAACCAATTACATAACATGAATTCTGCAAAATCGATAAAATGTCACATGCACGCCTACTGCAGAACTAGGTGAAAATTTCGCGTTAAACAAGTACCCTCCTTAGAAGTACTGCTTGTTTGTTATGTAAGACAGGTTAATTTATTTAAATACAGATATATTGCCTGAAAAAGTTGATCGCATTACAGGTACTACAATGCACCGAATAATCAATCATATTTAATCCAATTCGTTAAAAGGTAAAGTTATATCTGTGCTCAACTAAGTAAGCGCTATGCCATGAAGACTTATGGCGAAATGTAGACACGCATTCTTGACCTCGACATTACTTTGAGGTGAACAGTCAGCTTCACGCCCCGGGCGCTTTACCCCCGGGAGGAAAGATAAATATTCAAAATACAGAAAAATTCAAGCGAAAGTTTTAGGTCTTGAATAAAATTGTTTTTAATGCCATATACCTGTGGTTCTGGAACTTTTCGATTCATGGACCGGTAAAACAGCCATCGGTTTACCGAGAACTTGTACAGTGCGAACAGGAATAGTTCGAGTGTAGTAGTTGAGTGACTGTTTCCAATTTCTGAACGCATAAAGGAATTAGATCACAGCCTCCTGGGATGTGACGCCGTGCAGTTTGTTAGGCGCCAACGTCTAGGAGGAAACTGCTGCCTCGAAGACACAGGCAGTAAATTCCTTCTTGACTTTGATGCCTGTCTACCAAACTACACCACATCAATCCTACATCCCAGGAAGATGTAATCGTCGTACTCAACCGCGTTGATAACCTCAGATATTACGAAAAAAGAAATATTTCCTTTATGCCAATACATTCGTTTTTACTCCCAACAAATTCAGAACGAAATGAAAAACTTCTGTAAAGCTCAATAGGGAGATCAATTGAACATCCAACTTTCAAGCACCTACAACGAACGATTCAAAACATAGCAGGTACGTGAAGTTCGAGGTGGGAGCAAAACAAGCGCCATTAGATGGTTATCAAAAACGACACATTGTAGATCTCTTTAACATCTCATATTGGCCTTTGGTGTAAAGTAGTAATGAGCAGAAACATATTTTATATTTATAAGGCTAATCAATTATTATATATTACATAAAATAATTTATAAATATATATTGTAATATTATAATTAGACTTAACTTTTGTCTATGTTATATTAGAGGATATCCACCTATGTGTTATTTTCCTTCAGTGCTAAAAAGTGCCAACATGGTGTTAAAGCAAACCTCTTTAAGTTATTTTTTCAAAATAAACGATAATTTGCGTTTCCAAGAAGTCGGCGCCTCCTGACCTTATTTAATTTAATAAAGTACTACTGTTAGTTGTTTATAGGCTCATGAACGCTAATACATTTAATACAGAAAATGCGTTCTTTGCACAAAGTGAACCCACGTATTGTCTGTCCGCCTATTCTAGTCTTAGGCTTCGGTCCTGCTGCACTGATTTAGATTAAATATGTTGTATTCTTGATTGGCGGGGTGAATTAAATATTCTCGAGAGTGTTTAATATTGGTTTGTACCGGCCAAATATAACGCCTGACTTACTTGAAATTTAAACATACCTTCATCTATCTTCTCAAAGGCGGCTCAGTGTACAAAATATGTAAAACATGGACCTAATTTCAATTTAAATTTTAATTTGAAAAAAGAAAGTACAGGGAATAATTAACGAAATATAAGGAGAAATATGGGGCTATGTAGTGTACATAGCTTTGTAAATGTTAGTCACTGCTAAATCTCCAGGCACTTGACTGCTTACTGCTAATATTTCTATCGAACATACCAACATTACTTGTATATCAGTTGACAGTGCAGAAGAGTATGTTGATTAAGTGGATAACTGAACAAATGAATTAAGCTACCTGGCCTATCTGAGTAATAATATGAACTGGTGATAATGTAATTCAGCAGAACACTTCTGTGTATATATATAGGGGTATGCACAGATACAAAACATTGTAAACTGAATTCTATATGAAATTTGTGTAAGATAATTATACTAATTATAATAAAAATCACTCTAAAACTACTGCTACATGATTAGAATGGAAATCTGACACCAGGACCACAGGAATGATGAGATTTGTAATAGGGCAGTTAAACTTGATGCTCAAATCATTTTATTATATATGTGTGTATTACAAATTTCTATTTGTCTCACACTTTTTTGTAGGTCCCTAAGACAGAAGTTTCACTACATGTGCTATATTTATAAACCATTATATCATGCAAATTCTTTCTCATTACAGTATGGTGGAAAATAAAAGTGCTAGTTTAAGAAATCACAATCAAATGCATTAAAATAATGATAAGCGTCTTAGCTCGTACACATAATCAAATATTGGAATAGTTAAAATCAAGGTAAATAAGGTTGGTAAGACATAAAGCATGCATGTGGAGACAAGAAATATATACAGAATTTTGACTGGAAAACTTAGGGTTGAGATAATTTTCAAACCTAGACAAAAGGCAAAAGAAAATATCCTACACAAGAGACCAACTGAGAGATCTAGCCATAGACAACAAGATAATACTTAAATGAAACAAACTGTTGAGGGTGTGAACTGAATTGGGACAGAACTGAGTGTCAGGCTCTTGTCAACACAGGACTGAACCTACTGATTCCATACATAGCAGAAAATATCTTGATCATATGAGTGACTGAAATAATCGAGAGGGTCTCTTGAGACTACAGTCAAAAAAGATCGGGAAGAGAGGGCAACAAGTTAGTTGAGTTACAAGAGTGCGGCTGTGCAAAGAAGACTTCATGCATGCTGCAGTTAGTGAGACTGGTATCATTACTGTGTTGAAATTTGCTGCCAGGATATGACTAGTGACCACTGAGAACCCTAGTGTGGGTGCAACGGTGAACTGTAAAGTTTGGAAATCAGTGATAGCGCTGTATTACTTGTAGTTATGAGTTCAGTGTATAAGTGCAATTAATCCAATTCAAACCCCGTCTAATAGTGATCCCTACACATAACAATATTTTTAGACACTGAAGTTAGTTTCTACAATATAAACTAAATGGACAAAGAGACTAGACCCTGCAAAAGATGGAAGGAGAATGTGAAGTCATAAAAGGCTTGGCTGACTGCTGTGAAGTGGAAGAGGAGGACAAGAAAATAAATGGGGGAAAAGAAGGAGGAGAACTTGGATACTACGTTTAACACGAGTCTTCTAAATGTGGTATTGCATATTAATTGTTCATACACATTTAAATGCAACTTAAGCAAATACGAAAATTATTTCACTATCATTATTATGGAATATATCATGTAGTTTCGTCTAACATATTCAAACTTCCTATTTTAATAAATATACATGCTGTACTCATCAAGAACAAGTATGAAACTTATCATACACAAGGGATAGATTAAGGAATAAGTAACACATTGAAGAAGAAAAATAATGGTGACTTAAACCAGTGGTTCTCAACACTTCTAATTCACAGATGATAACACAGCACTAGGCATTTCAAGCACTGGTATCTGTCTCACACTAGACAGTACAACTCTAGCTACTATTAGCATGTCTCAACATGCTTTTTATATGAAAATTAATGACCTTATGTCAAACTAAAATTAATTCAAATGAAATCAATAACATTTTCAATCTATCTGTCTACAACCCAATTTATTTGAGTGCAAATAATAACCTCATCATTTTCTGTGGCTATTGTTCAGTGATCTGAACTCCCTGACAGAACAATTTACACTTTATATTACACACAAACACCAACTAATAATTTACTTTATGCCTAAATCATGAAACTATTACTAGTAGACATATTGATGCCACACCTTTTAATCCTCGATTTAAATTTTCACCTACAAAATTCTACCTGAGTTAACCATCCACAACAGTACCCCAGCTGCGGTATGAACATGTATATTTATACTGGCATCCAGATCATAAGGCGACTTATGGCTATAGTAACAATGATGCTCCAACTCTGTGGACACATGTTGAGAAACAGTGCTTTAAACAATGAGCAAGATGTAAGATTTGAGGTTTTCACGGTGGTGACAATGAAGAAAGCAGTCTTCTGGGATGTGGCGCTGTGTAGATTGGCGATACGTTTCTCCGAAACGTCAGTTAACACAATATCTACACAGCGCCACATCCTAGAAGACTGCTTTCTTCAATGAGCAAGAAGGTTAACTTATATCATGCTGAAGCACAGGTACACTACTACAAGTCACGAAGGCACTTCAAGTAAAGGATACAGCCAGTCGAAACTGTCTGTGTTCCTTTGTCTGAAATTTTTCTTGGGATTGCCATCATCTTACAGTCAGCTACCTTCTCTGATTGAGCAAAGTCCTGCACAGATTCAACCAATGTATTCTTATCTTCTGTGCCATCATTATAAGCAGTACCAATATGATCAATACTGTTTCTGCTGTTGCAGCAATCATCAATATCTTCTTCCTGGTTGCTCTGAGTTGATGCCTTTTCTTTTTCTACCATCTGCCTCTCTGTGACCAACATAAATTCTTCCTTCCACTCTTCAACTATCCTGGTGACCCTGGTCACGCCAGCTTCTTCATATTGTGAATCTGTATCTTGGTTCTTCAACTCTGTAATATTATCTATGACAGAAGACAGGGCCTTAACCATAAGCTTCTGTATAATGCAACTCAATTCTTTCTTGAAGAGCCCCATCACAGAGGGAGCCAGAATCTGTGATGCTGATTCTCCTACTTCTTTCTTGAGAACTGACATAAGAGCCAGGTTCAAATTTTGTTCTAGATCCTTGTTAAGCACAGATATAGACAATTCTAGTTCAGTATCACAATTTGATAAGCACACTATTTCTGTACCCATATCAGGAATAAATGACTCTGATTCTACTTTCTGCAGATCTGCGTGTCCATGCTTTTGACTCTCATCTGAAACACCAATGTATTTACTGATACAAGCCATTGGGCTACTTAGCTTACCATCAGTTACTTTGTCAGATTCATTCACAGGTTCACCTGCTGTATTACTGTTGTCTTTCAAAGAATCTGTTCCTACTTTAATGCTTGATTTCAAATGATCTGTAGTTATTTCAGCATCTTCTATTTTACTTCGATTTGCTGAATCTGTAAATGTTTTGTTAGCTGCTGCCACAGCTCTGTGACCTTCACCTGCAGTACTTGTAGGTAGTACTGACATATTTCTAATTGTTAAGCCAATTTGTTCACTTGCAGGAGTAGTATTCTGTTTAGTTGTGATCACAGGAACAAAGGTAGAACAACACTTTTTACTTGCAGCTGTAACATTACTGATGCTATGTTCTGAAGCTATCACAGTGCAGCTACTTGATGGTGTGGTTGTTACTGTGCAGCTGGTCAATTCATTTGGAGCTGTATTTTGTTCAGTCAAAACAGTACAGTCATTTTCTTTGGCAGCAGCTGTGGTCAAATTGATGTCTGGTATTGAACCTGTAACTAAGACATTACCAGACACTATGGATGATGGTACTAATTCATTTTGTTCAACAGTACCATACATATCTAACTCGTTAGTGTCAGATTTATTTTTCCAAAAATCATTCAATTCTTTTCTAATGGTGCCTCCAGCTGATGATGCACTGTCTAAGTCAGTAGTCAGGCAATTAGATATATTCTCTTCTTCATCGGGTACTACTTCATTTTGTTCAACAGTACCATACATATCTAACTCATAAGTGTCAGATTTATTTTTCCTAAAATCATTCAATTCTTTTCTAATGGTGCCTCCTGCTGAAGATGCACTGTCTAAGTCAGTAGTGGGGCAATTAGATATATTCTCTTCTTCACTGGGTAGTTGTCTGCCAAGTTCCTGAAACTGAAATATGTCACAATCTTGTACAACTTTGTTAAGAAATGGAACTAGGTTGTGGGCCAATTCAAACACAGTACATTATTTACACAAACAAATTATAATTATTTAACAATGCACGTCCATCCTCCTCAAACTCTTCTGATTCAACAGCTGGTAAAATAGTCAGTGGGTTTCCCATGGATCCACTCATACTATACAGTACAATACCAAACTAATTATTACTAGCACAACTGAACATGTTTAATTTTAGTATAAAAATCTAAATTATGGTATTAAAATTGCAGAGATATCATAATCACACAGTAAACATTATAAAAATAAAAATTATTCACTAGATTATATAATAATTTGCATTACCTGAATACAATGTTAATAACATAAGATCTGTAAGACTGGAGTTGTGTACAATAGAAGAGCAGGCTTTGTGAGTTTTGTCAGCATCTTACTGTATTTATTTGCATTACACTTACAGATGTGGGCAGGAGTGGAGGCTTATATGCCAGGTGGTCATTGGTTTCTGTTGGTTCATGGTTATAGCATCAATGAAGCACTGAATTGCAGTGTGTGGGTCTGTTTGATTTCACAGACCACCAAAAAGCAATATTCTGGATGTTCCAAAACATCCAAATAAAATATAAATCTTATCATGACATAAGTGACTATTTACCCAGTGTGTGATGATGATGATGTTGATGATGATGATGGGTATATGGAGCTTGGATCATCTCTGACACAAATTTTGTCCCTTCTGAACTGAAGTAACTATTAAAATATTCTAACGAGGATGAATGCTTCTTCTCCAAATGCTGGTTAGAGTGCCTTGTATGTTTTGAAGTGCCGAGTAAGTTGGCTTGAGCAGTAATGCATCTGATTTGCATTCAGGTGGTGTCCAGTTTGTATCCTGGCATGGACACTGAGTATCACAAGTGAGGTTTTCATGAGGCTTTCCAGACAAACAGTGGAAAGTACTTCATATTAGTCAATGTCTGCTTCCTTTCATCTACTTTCCAATTCTTCACTCAGTAATCATCCCCACTGACAGTGTCATCATATAAACCAAATGTAACCATCTTATTTCCATGCTTCATTTAGGTCTCTGCAGACACATCTTGTTCTGTAATGTCAGTTATTTCAAAATGTCGTAACCATTATAAATATATTGTCACGTTTTGGGTGTGTCACGCAACAAATAACTTTATGTGGGTCTCAGATTTAGCGAATCTTTATTGGACACTCAATCTTACACGCTTTATAATTATTACCACTTGTAGTGTCACTTGACTTCTGGCCACTAGGTTCCAACTGTGTTGTTGCTGTCTGAGGCTCTCAGCTTATGTAGGTGTTCTGCCGACTCAGTAGAGGATACCCCTCGCCAAGGTTCAATCTCATGTGTTCGGCAATCCGTTGCTTCGGGAACGCTCTTTACATGCTGGTAACGAGTTTTGTCTCATCTGTTGTTACTCAATGGGCCTTCTGTTGTTCATCTCTGGGGAAACGTGTTGGTTGTTTTGGCACTGTCTACGCAATGGCTCGCTGCTATTGCATTACCATGGAAGTATCTACCCTAAACATGTTACAATATGTACATAAAACCATGTTTTACTTACAAGTGTTCCCTCGAGGTGGGGTAAAATCAGAAGAAAACTGTCAACACTTGTGGTTTTTCCTTGTATCCAGTGTAATACCAGAAAGTGAAGAAACAAAAATAGAGGGTAAAGCTATAACTGTAACAGGCCGTGGACGGCCCATAGAGATGTCAGACGTTGAGGCTCCCACATTTTCTGAACAATCGGCTCACAGATAGCAGTCTAGCACTGAGACTTTATACACAAAGCAGAGAGAAGAATCCAACATTATGAGACTAAGATACAATAATGTGTTCAAGTTGTTAGCTTTTCTTCATATACAGAAGATCCTGCATTTTGAGCTTGAACCAGAAACTGGCTATCTTGACTAGGATATTCATAGTTTTCATCACTCCCTTTAGGAGTCCTGGAACAGTATCTCAAATGGGTTGTGACCCTTCCTTCCACACCTTTTCACTTTATCCTATCTTGACAATATATAATTAATGCAGCTGAAGAAATACAGTTAAACAGTCCATGAATTAATAAATTAATAAGGCTAACTCTGAAATGCTTATGGGTCATTCAGATGTAACAAGAGAATTTGAGGATACTTACAATGGTGGTCAAAACAGATAGGTCATTAATGCCTCTTTCCTTGCAATACTGGATGATGCAATTCAATCTCTCCCTCCAATTCTGACTCAGAGTATCAAATGAGCCAAACCACACGTGTGATGCCTCACTTTCAACATTGTTTGATAATAGGAAGTTCAGTTCTTCACCTGTAAGTAACCAATGATTTACGGGTAATTATTTGATAATAGGTATACAGAATTGGACAGGAAGTCGTTTCATGGCCACTCACAGAAAATAACGCATGTCATTATGTGCAATATTGGATGTCACTCAAGAAATGTCTTTCAATCCTGGCATTGTTTGAAAGTTCAGCTAGCATCCATCATGACAGGTTTCATCATTCTAACATTTAGAGCCACTTGGTAATCCAGTGGTTCACCAAGAAAAAATTTCTTGAAGAACTGTGTAAAAATATCCAGTAGCATATAACTCAGTCAGTGCACCTGGCAGTACTGGAGCAACAAGCCGACATGCATCACTTTTATTGGCAAGTGCCTTCTGAGGTAAATTTGACATCATGCAAAGAGGTTTTCCATCCCAGTTATACATGGAGAGATGCTATTATTTCATTCATTCTTTAAATTCAATAAAACCTTTTTGTTCAAGCCTAGGAAGTAGAACAAGTCACAATTAAATCAAAACATACACTTGTGTTACTTGTAAATTTGAGTTCATAGAGTTTATTGGGAACAATACTGACCCCACGATTTTTTAGAACTTGAATGAAGAAAAAAAATATAATTTTTCAGAACATTAAAAATTCTTATCATCTATACATTGACCTCCATTCCATTCCTGTACTTTTAAATATTTTTTGTGAATTAAAAATTTATTTTATACAAATTCATTGATAAAATCTGGTTACATTATTTGTTTTCTTTTAAATTCCAATTCAGGGTCTTTATTGATTGTTTGGCATTTACTTGACCAGTCAACAAAATTTCTCTGCCTTTTATAGAACCCAAAAGTTCATTAAAATATTCACAAGAGCCCATCAAATCTCGAGCCAGTCATATCTAGTCCATGCTGCAACATCCAATTTATTTAAGATCCATTTTACTAAAAGTTTCTGATGATGGCATATTAATACAATTACTGTGTTTCTGTACATTAACCACTGTCCTGTTCTTATTTAAAGCATACATTTTGGAGACTGGATTATGTCTCTGTTTTCAAGTGGAACCAACTCAGCTGAGCCCAATCAACAGAGCTAGTCCCTATCTCTGGATAATGGATAATGGTCAGAAAAACAATAACTATGTCCACTTTACTATTGGTCTCCCAACTATGCTCAGGGTTTTCAAACGGTCTCTTCCTTTCAGTTTTCTGACCAAAATTTTGTAAGCATTTCTTGTTGCTCCAATGTGTGCTACATGCCCTACACATCTCCTACCCTTTGATTTGGTAACTGTACAACTGATGAAGATCCTCATAATGCTATATTCTCCATTTTTTCATTACTTCCTCTCTCTCTGGTGCAAATATTCTCCTTAGCATCCTGTTCTTAAGCACTCTCTAGCTACGTTCTGCAATATTAGTGGTTATGTTAAATTCTACACTTGCTTGGTCAGTGGATTTACAAGGTGGCTAATCCATGAAAAACTGGTTCAGGATCTTTACTGCTGCAAATAACAAACTGACTTTTGATAATGTTAATAGCAACACCTAGTAGGTTGGTCTGCTGGTAACTGTCTAGCCTTCTGCCTACGAGGTGCTCATTTTGGCTCTGGGTCAGCAGAGTGGCTATTCTTACTAAAATTCTTCATGGTTGTCTTTGGTACCTCATGAAAGTTCTGGGATAGTACCTCGATTAAGACACAAGTGCTTGTTTACAATTTATTATTCATCAATCAGAAGTCTAGAAAACATATCATAAAATACCCCCTACCCACTGAAAACGAAAGAAGTAAAAACAGTTTGTCTTATAATACCAGAAATTCACATCTTTCTGTTTATGTCATACCAAAACGTTTGCATTACTTTGCTGCAGTTTTGTAATTTACATTTTGGGCATGAGATTTACTGAAACTATTGCTAGCTGCACAAATGTTATGTATGAAATGCGCAGTAATTAATGCATACATCTGAACCACTTCAATCACACTGTAAACAAATGGTTGATTATGATAATTTTAACATTTTTACAAGATTTAGTCTAACTTCTGGGCACTACTTATAATATTTTGAAGCAAAGAGCTTGTGATGCTATTCAATACAAATTTATGAAGTATAAAAATTATTTATATAAAAATGTGTTGTTATTTATAGAATAATAATATTGCTGTGTTCAAATTTAAGAATTACAACCATACCTATTTTGAATATATAGTTCAGGCTCAGCCTTTCCATTGCGACTCCAAACAGGAATGCATTGCGACGATGAAAGGACACTGTACCATTGCAGTCTGTGCTTTCAAGAAGTGCTGTCTCAGTGTCTACAAAACTCAACCTGCCTTTCATAATAAGTGTTTTCTCCTTAGTCTTACGAGTTCTCTTACGCTGCCGCTTCTTCCTAGTGATACACATTGAATCCTCAGACCTAGTGCTTGGTTCAGAAGTATTACTGTCTTCCATCCATGCATCGTATGCTGACCATTCAAACTTTTTTCTTGCTGAATTTCTGTATACTTTTACATACACTTTATCTCCCTTAGATACATGATGACTGATAATTTCATTTCTCTGTAAGTTTGGCGCTTGGCGATTGGGCTTGAAGGATCGGTTACAAACAAACACATGAATCTTCGAGTCATCTAACTCCAGCAGAAAGGCAAACGGAGGTAGCATTCTGATTACTGTTCCTTTGTACTCCCTATTTCCCACAAGATTTTCTGTCTGATATGGAATGCAAATGGGCTGAGAGCAATTCAAATCTGGTTTCTGCTTTTTTCCCATCCAAATACGTGTACATCTAACAAATCTTGCATCATTAACTTCAATATCAAAATAAACCTGTTTACCTATTGGAAAGTAACTTCTAAAATCAATCCCTTTTTCTTCCACTGAAAATGCAAATACATCCTCAGTAAATGTAATATCACCATATACTTTGTCCCTAACAACAGCCTGTCTCTCAGACAAAACTTTAACGATGCTGCCTGCTCTTCCTCGCATTACTTTAATCTTATGCAAAATTGAATCTTGATGAACCGACATTTTCGGTTGTAACAAATGTAATATTTGGGTTCAATTTCTTTTGCTTTCACTCTATGAGGTCATAAGCTTTATACATTTATTTGTTCTATTCGGGCTCCAGTTTTGTTATTGGTAGTATTTTTTCTTGTGTGCTTTGTTGAAACAAAATAATATATACACTCAAACAATCTTAACAGGTTTCTTCTTTTTTCTTTAGATTTATTATTTGGGAATAGCATACAGATGTCAAATTCATTTGTAACTTGGTTAGTAACGGTGAATGCAAATTTTTTGACTCTTCACACAACTATTTTAAAGTTATATTTATCTCCCCAGTGTCACAAGTTGCATAGGAAAAATAACTTCCTGTATCATACGACAAATGAATGTAAGTGCTCAAAGGATGCAAATCACGTGCAAGTTTCAGCACTTCGTAAGAACTGTATTAGTGCAATATTCACAAAGATCGAAGGCTGTTATACTTCCTGCACATTCTGAAACAGTTAAAAAGCATGTTTTGTAATAATCAAATATTTCCATTTTATAAACTGCTATACTGTGGAAGCAAATAACACACAAAAATATTACTTACACTACATTTTGTGGAAAGTTGTTAATTGTTGAGAATTCCTGAGTGTCAAAGCAATTTCATGCCCCCAAAAATGATGAGAATACTGCATTATAAATCATTACTTACTTGCTTCTAGACCATTTTAAAATTATTGTATTACATGTCATCTTGGTTCCTCAACAAATAACGCAGCTCTAGCACTGAAACCAATGACAAACATCAGATACAGACAAAGACGCCCTGAAAAAAGAATTATGATAACGTAAATGATTGAGTGATTTACTATCTCACACTCACTGTGTCACATTCAAATTAAAGAAATTTCACTTATCTTGGACTCAAAGTACAAACAGTCACTATTTCTCCTACTCTACAGAATTAATTTGTTATTAAATATTCCATCGCTCCTCATTTTGTAAAACAAGACAGGGTCACTCTATCATCATGTGTATGTCTCTACCCCCTTGAAAATGGACAAGATTTGAACTAGGCAGAGCTTGAAAAAAAGCAGGAGTGCCACTATTTCAGCCAACTTACTCTGTCACTAATTATATCAAATGGGCACATAATGGTGAGGCAGCATCTAACAGTTCACGTGTTACATCTCTGAAACTACAGAAAAAATTAACTGAAATGTGATATTTGGGGCCCACACCTACAGCTCCCATGCAGATTCAATTTTGGTCCATACCAACAAAACATATGCCCTACTATACAAACTGTCAAATCAAAATTTATCAGTTTACTCAAAATTGTGCAGTGCAATAATATACAAATTTTATTAAGATACACAATTTTTATTACACATACTTCTTATATAGTGAATATATAAATAAATACATGCAAAATGATTTATGACTGCAATATGGCTATCTTTTCAATATACACGTATTTCTGTTTACAATATATTATCATCAGTGCCAATGGGGTATACATTATCAAAAGGAACAGATCTGGAAAAGTTCCACCTTCTGGAATTTAAAGCCATGCAATCCAATGAAAACCAAAGCTCTGCTTGCTGTCTGTTTCATGCTGGTTTCTTGCTTGGCTTACTCTTCGACTCTGAAGCTGGAGGCAATATATCCCAACATACTCCACAGTGTCAGATGACTCACTGGGCTACGGGGCGTATTTCAACAGAAGAACTCTTCAGTCAGTGCTGTAAGAACTTCTAATCCAATACATTTGGAAAATAATTATAGCCCAGACTGCAGCATACATTTTCACTCCTGTTTCCTATTGAAGAATAAGTTTAAAAGATTTGGTATAAATTCTTTGGATGGAAAATTGGTAGGATTTATTCATATAGCCTGCACTGCCCAAGTATGCCACTGAAACCATTTTACTTTTCACTTTTCTCTTTGTCGTTAGTTATGCCAGTTCCAGAACACTCTTATACAGAAATTTATATACCGTGGCTGATTAGACATACAGTATTTCTTTCATAATTCTGCATGCGTCAAATGAGAAGAATATCTCCATGATGTCATATTTAAATTTTTGCAACACCTGGAATCTGTAATGACTTTTAGCCAAATAATGATGATCATTCATTGATGTTTCTAGGGGGGTGGGTTGTTCTGTATCAGGACAGGGAAATATGCCACGCCTTCCATGTAGAATAACGATATTGGTTCAGTTCTCATGAATAAAAGAAACATACTAATATACGTACATCCTTTGGATACACGAGTTGTACAAAATGTTGAACGTCATCATGGAGATACAAGAAGCAGCATAAAAGGAATAAAATGTTTAAACATGTTTAAAACATTCAATCACCACACAACCATCCCAAACCACCACATGTTAACCACACTCCACGTAACAAATTGCACTGAGTATGGATCGTATGAATCGTATGGATCACTAAATCACTACATAGCTAAGTTCAATGCTGTATGTTGGCAACAGCGGTGACTGCCGTTATTCGCATGCTTATTGTGCTTCCACCTGCCCCATAGTAGTAGTACTATGAAAATTGCAATCTCGTGGTATCAATCGGCAAAAAGGGTAACTTCAAGTTCCACTGAACCTGATATTACACATCTTACTCCATGACTAGGGTAAAAGCGTGAGTATGTGAGCGGATTTAAAAATTTTCACTTCACTTAAATTCAATGTTTCATTTAACATTTATTATCATTCAACAATCCAGACATACAGGCATTACAACCATTAGGATAAGGAAATTGTCAGTTTTACATCTAATACTCGTGCATATCTTTACAGTATACAGTGTACCACCCTAACATAGGGGGTTTGTTGTATGAATAATATTATCTAGATCTAGCTACCATTAATTTCATTGTCTTTACACAAATACAACATTTCATTCAACATATGCAAAAGGTGACGCGTACCGACAAACTTGTCAGAAGTCAAAATGCGCACGTCTTCTGGTGCATTGCATATTTCGATATTACAGCAAAAAAACCAAGCATGAGAGTACCAAAGAACATGTGTTGAGAAAAGAAAAGTGCTGCTCATATCCATCAGAAGGAAGACATTCCTCAGCAAAATGAGTTCTTTGTATTTGTTATTACGCTGCTGCGTGATGTAAGTCGCCAATTACTGACCATGCTATTCATGCAAGTTATAAATAAGAGAGGAGAGGGGCTGCAACCATAGTTTACCGATTTCCTTTCTAAATACCATGTTTCAGTCTTTACTGTTATTCAGTTTCCTTCATACTAGTAAATACTATTTATTGCTATAATTATTCAGCTTATTGCATGATCCGTTTAAAGTAGTTATAAAGTTACGTCACGTTTACGTCGATTCTGTCAATACAGTTTCTAAAGGATCATTAATATTATTAACTGCTGAAAAAACAGTGGGAAAATGTTTGACCAATTTTCTGAAAGGCCAAATAAATACTCAGATAAAACGGACAAAACTTAGCTAGATATCTCGCATGTAACATGGAAAGGGTACAGTATACTTTGCTTTAAGCATACAAACATAGAACTACTAAAAATCTTGAATGTCTCGCAAAGAGAGTAATGAGTGTTGAAGATTGTTACTGGGCGTGCTTATGTTATCATTCGATACGTCAGTGTACATAGTATATCGATCTTATCTCGTCTTATTCGACACCAGATAATAACTGCATTTCTTACTAAGCCGTAAAATTACACACAGACAAACAAATGTCATTGCATCTGTTTGTTACGGACATCATATTCAGTAAATTTATATTATATTATTTAAACTTGTTCTTAATCATAAAAATGCACTTCTTGGGAGCATTTTTTTGTGGCAGAATGACCAGCGGGACACAAGATGTACAAGGTTGAGAGCATTATCCCGTTATATGTCATAACAAACTACCATAAGAGTAACAGTATTTTATAAATAGGCCTACCTGATAAGCCATATTTGTGCAATTATCCAGTGGAAGTAATATGTTTAAATGTATGTGTTTTCATTTATTATTTCTTTGCTAACCGCCGTAGGAAACGATAGCAACATGTAAATAATGATAAATGTGATCACTGTTTTGCAAGAGGAAGGTATTCAGGATGTAATTATCTTGCTACTTGCGTCATTTTGCTTTGTTAAAACTCTACCTGAATTACGACTCCCAGGACACGGTGCAGGAGTGGGAATTTGAGAGCAAGGTCGTGCATTCACGTGCTCTTATTGCATACTGTATCTCCTGGCCAGTGGATTCTGTTGGAAGAAAGGCGGTAAACCAATACCAACAATGAAGTTCAACACACTTCAATCGACAATCGCGTCTAATCGTGCCTGCTATTCATTAATTGAATCTGTACAACACGAGTAGTGATATACTGCAATTGAAACTTCACTTTTAATAGTTACACTGGTTACTCGTTCACAAAAGACGGGGGGGGGGGAAGAAAGGGCATGAAAGAAACAGGGAACCGAAATGAAGAAAAGCAGAGCTGGAAAATGACTTCAATTAAAAATCATCAAAATAGAGATGAAGTTATGCATACAAGAATTTTAACGGTAGAGTGTTACAAATTTAACAGTAAGATATTTCAACATTATGTAATATTTTGTGTTCATTTTTATGTAAATTGGTATTTCTCTGTTTTTCTTTGTAAAATGATTAATTTTGTTTGGGAAGGAGGCCTATATTATTTGAATATGGATGTGAATTTTAAACATACCTACAATTCCGGTCGAAATGTTTTTATGTACAGATCACAAACATAGGAACTTTGAAGAAATGGTGAGACTATATCTGATGGGGTTTTTAACGTAGTGGAAAATTACATGCCCAATAGTGAAATTTATTCACATAAATGTACCATTATATTATCAACTTATAGTTTGTACTGGCCTTACCATACAAACTGAAGCATTTGAAGACAGCAGTAATAAGTTTATGCAAAACTTCCTGTTTCCTCGACTTAGCGAAATCGTAAACCTATTTGAATTTGTAAATTTGTAGATTTCTCTACTTTATATCTTCTTGCCATTAGAATTCTTATTGTAAGATTTGAGGTTTCCACAGCGGTGACTATGAAGTATACCGTCTTCTGGAATGTGGCGCCGTGTAGATCTTGTGTGAACGCTGGTTCCTCGCTCGCGGATTTGTCTACCCTGAAGATGGAGTACATACATTCTTCCGAAACGTCGGTTCACACAAGATCTACACGGTACCATATCCCAGAAGACGGCATTCTTCAGAATTTTTATTATTCAATATTTATGCACGAAACCTTAATTTCTCAATTAAAGAACTTACGTGTTTGGCCTAAATATATGTCCTAATTATTTTCAATTACTGACTATACGAGTGGATTTATTACAGTGATCTCCCCAATAGAATAAAATATTGTTATAATTGAATGCAGTCTTTTTAAGTATGAAACGCGATAATTTGCTTTCTTTGATTCTATTAGAAGTGTCTTTTTTCAGCCAGTATGCACACCGACAAAGAATTAACGCATACCGGAAAAAGCGTCAAAAGTCAAAAGTCGAACATGAGAAGGTGCATCGTATATTTCGATCTTGAGGCTAAAACTGAACATGAGAATACCGGCAAAGAACACTGGGAAAGTAATAATTTATATCGAGGTATGTAAATATTGAATGATGTTTCTTAATCTTTCAACATAAATAAGGAACTGATTAACATCTTTCACACTATTGCACTTCCGGTTTCCTGTTTCATATTGCAAGAAAGTGGTCTTCATCCGGAAATGAAGTCTAATGAATTCGACTCTTGTGTTGTGTAACGACGCTTTCTTAGTTGCATTGGTTACACAGCAATATCGCATCGACTACAAATAATGAATTGGAAAGAACGTAAAATGAAAAGTTGTTATCATAATATTTGTCTAGCAATAAAGATACCCAACAGAATGTAGGCCAGGATAGCTGGCCTCTGGGTCGACATTAGATCTCGGCTCTATTCGAATACGAGCAGGGGAGTACAAACCACATAACCTCGAAAGGCAATGGCAATGGAGTCGATTACACATGACTTCGATTTGATGCTCGGTCGCTTCAGTCCGAGTGTTCCGCAAATTCAGAACACTTATTGGGTACTCCCTATGCTCCCTATGTTCTTTACAACAGCCTAGTTCGCGTGGTGTGTGGTGGGTTAAGTACTGCCATCTATCTGCTCAACAAAGCCCCTGGCTTTACAAGACCGGCCGGCTCATATTTCCTCGCGGTCAGTGCCGTTTGATATCAATACGAGCACATAGTGCAACTTGCGTTCGAATCCCGACGGTACAAAGACCTATCGATCGTTACTAATAGGGATATATAGTACGGATACTGGTTTTGATAGTTGTCGTCAACCATTACAAGTAACCGTTCTGTATTGTACTGAAGAAGGGCTTGGATATCATCACTCGGGTATATAACTTTACAATAGTTTCGAAGTTGATATAACTCGATGACTTCATTGAACATGAGTTTTCTAGAGAAACTGATACTGTTCGTCGGTATAGCTATTGGCTACGGGCTGGACGGCCGAGGAGTCGGAGTTCGAGTCCTCGTAGGGTCAAGAATTTTCTCTTCTTCATGTCGCCCAAACCGGTACTGGGGCCCATCCAGCCCCCTATCTAGTGGGTATCAGGGACTCTTTCTCAAGGTGTAAAGAGGCCGGGGAGTGAAACTGACCACTCACCTCCAACTAGTGCCGAGGTCAAGAAAACGTCGATTTATACATCCACTCTCCCATACGCCTTCATGGCGTAGCGCTTAATTAGTTAAGCACAGAGACAACTTTACCTTTACTACTACCGGTCATCTATTCAGGAGAATCCCCATTTTTCATAGATTTCGAAGGTTAATTTGGATGTGCACTGAACTCCTGTACAGAGTCAAGTAAATCAAGTGCATTCTCTGCATCTTTAGGACATATTTTAACATTCCTCTCCTATCCATGTCTAGGTTGGCTACGGGCTGGACGACAGAGGGTCGGAGTTTGACTCCCTGTAGGGTCAAGAATTTTCTCTTCTCCACGGGTTCCAGATCGGTTCCGGGGTCCACCCAGCCTCATTTCCAGTGGGTACCATGGGTTCTTTTCTCGGGGTTAAAGCAGCCGTGAGGTGAAGCTGACCATTCACTTTCAGCTATTGTCGAGATCAAGAAAACGGAAATCAATACATACACTCCCCCCATACGCCTTCATGGCGTAGTTCTTAATTAGTTAAGCACAGGGACAATTTTACGTTTATCTACGCCTAGGTTTCCCGAGTGGTCTTTCTTCCCTTGATGTTTTCCTATTAACATATATGCGTTTCGCATCTCCCCGACCAGATGATGGTCACATGAAACGAAAAGTCCATTAGTCGTATACTGTAGTCAATAGGGACAGTCTTGCACAACTGAGGCAGTCTTTCCCGCTTTGTATTTGAAAAGCCTAGGATTTTAGTTTCGCCTCGGACTTCGGCTAACCTGGCTGAGATATCTTTTATGTGGTTTTCATCAATCTCCCCAGGCAAATGATGAAATAATTCATTAAAAAGCAATGATTCTTTTCCCGGAATTTCTGGAATTCTTCGTTTACTATCATTATATTCGACGCTGTATCTGCAACTTGAAAAATCAGTTTCACTTCCGACTCTTACATTTGAAGCTGTAATGAATTTCTATAGGCCGTCATTTTACAGGGCTCTGAAACCTTACCCCTGGCCGAGTATTGTCCCTTTGCTTGGTAACAGGAATGTACTCCTAATACATTACTCCTGAAAACGGGAAGGAGGACACAGTTACTAACTCATTTACCTCCAAAGCGTTGATTAAACTGGAAATATAATATGGACACAAGGAGACGCAAACAGACTTGTTAAGGACAAGTCATATAAGAGAATAAACCGACATTGTAGTAGGTACAACGTCAATGTTACATGAAATTCTGTAAGTATTATTGTCTGTGTTAATACTTACGAAAATGGCGAGAGTATGAAACTTTGAGGTTGTATATGAAAATATTGACGTAACTGCAATATGTACTAATCAAAACCATGCACATTCGTGGACCACTAATTGTAAGATTGGTATTTAGATCTCCTGATAGCTCACGTTATGGATTAAAGCATTTGAATGGAAACAAAATACGTTCTGAAACTTCTCACAACTTATGGCATAAACATGCACAACTGATTTCGAAATTCATTACCATCAAAAGACTAAAATAATAATGGTTACTCTACGGTACCACTACCTCGAGACTATTCTTTGTTCTTGGTATATCTAATGGACATCACGGATGCGTGGAACTACATCATTCATTGGTATTTAATTAAGCATAGAGACAATTTCTTTTACCTTTCAACAATGAAGATACCGTAAGACATATTCAGGGGCATGCGCGTTCGTAACTGCCTTTGCTAAATTCTACATTGTGACGCAGTATCGGTGAAGCTCCACGTAGTGCGTCGCGTGGTCGGAGAGTGGTGCAAACAGTCTACTGCCATCACCGTCGCTAACAATAACAATAATAATATAAGTATTATTGGAAGAAAAGTTGCCTACGTGACGATCAGAGAAAGGCGACACGGTATGTTTTAAGTTATTTCATATCAAGTAAACTTTAAATATTATAAAACAACGCACTCATTTTAGAAAAGTGAAGAAAAAAGAAAACGAATTCAATAAAAAATTACGTATATTTTTGGTAGGGCCTATAAAAATGTATTTATTTTTTATTCATTTACGAAAATAGGTGCAGATATTTTAAATAAAGCAATCACATCACATGTGAGTGGAATTATGAGGGGGGCGAGGTACGACAGCAACACGGAGCTGATGGACCTGTACAGCAGCACTTCCTGGCCGCGACACGACCACGGTGACCACGTGCAAGCCATCCTTGACATGAGTGAGGCGTACTTGCACGCGGCGGCCAACTGTCACGAGGACAGAGCAGCCTATAGTGACAGGTTTGCACATCCATGAATAGTAAGTACATAGTTAGGCAGAGATATGTAAATGTCAAATCTGCTTGTAATGGAGTCCAAAGAACCTGAATACAAGTATTTCAACTTTCCAGAAAAGTTTCCGTTTCACACGTAAATAGGCATTCGTACACCACGTCTTTATGCTCCCAGTTACAACCAGAAAGTCATGCTGCACCTACATACAACACTTCATTGTTACTGATAGAAGACATTTCCATTTTTATTTCTTTTCTTGATTTGTTTCGTTGATCTTCATCACGATATTCTGCATAAATTTTGTCGACGGTCGGGAAAGATGAATTTCAGGAAGGAGAACACGGAATAAAGCTACATGAACAGCAAACAACATTACAATCAATATATCAGAAGCGGTGAGTGGTCAGCTTCACGCTCCAGTCGCTTTACCGGGAAAAAAATCCCCATACCCATTTGATATGAGGTCCGGTCGTCTCCAGAGCCGGTCTAGACGCTGTGGAGTACAGAAAACCCTCTTGCCCCTGCCGGAAATCGGACCCCGACCTTCCGTTCCTTAGCTCGTTGCTGTACTGACTGAGCTATCCCAACTTACTGTTCATTGTTACCCCTATTCTCATTGCTGCATCTTAAAACTTTTCTTAAAATCACAACTCGTGAAGGAGAGTAGAGATTGGTACCGTTGGCATTGCTGAAAATTCGGCTATCGTTTCAGTTCGCTGCCTGTTCACCTTAGTGCTACATGAGGGTGTACTTTAATTCTTACACGAAAATTCAAACATCATATACGGTTGGTAACATTCCAGTGTCCTCGAAACAGTTCCCTTATGGCTTGGCATTAAAACCAAATCAAAGGTGCGTCTTACAATCAATAGTGTCCTTCTTTCCCTGAAAACCTATCACGAAATCAAGCGTGAATATTAAAATCGTTGACGCTTTGGAATCGTGAAATCTGGTATTATCACTAAAAGTTAAAATTTTCCCTTTAACAGGGCGTGGAGGCCCATAGGTACGTGATATATCGAGGCTCCCACATTTTCTAGACAATCAGCTCACAGACGGCGGTAATATTGTCAGGCTTACGCGCCGGCCGCCCTTACCTCCCAGGAAGACTCCTGGTACTCATTTCTGTTAGAGGATGAGTGAACTTCAGGGCCGTAGTGCGGCTGGAAGGGTTTGGTAAATTTAAAAATCCAAAGACATCATCGGGAAAGGAACCGGTGACCTTGCTGCTTGTAGCATAGTGCCTCAACCAACTACGCTACCGCGTGCCCCGGTATTATCAGTATATATTTTTGTGATTAAAAGAGGTCATAATCACGCACATTGAATATTCGCAGTTAAAAACTGTGCATGTGTGTATGTGTTAAAAAACAGATTGCTCCATCTTGAACAGCTGAGTTAACTTAAAGAAACGTGTACAGACAAGGCAACTGGAGTTGACTTCGATGAAAGTCGCAACATGTAACACTGCTGGCTTCTTATTAACGGCCGAGTGATCTCCTGCCATCAGTAATCTTCATTCAGCGAGGATTTATGGGATTTTGAAGGCCGATACCATTGCCTCCCATGTTTTGTGAAACGAGAGAATAGTCAGAACGAATCTCTCAGAATAGACTGCCTCGGATCAAGAATCGATCCTGAACCATCTGAATATGAAGCTTGGGCATCTCCATTCATCTCCATTTTCACAGTCTATGTATATTTCAAGAATTTTCTCTTACCCACGTTGTCCAGACCGGCTCTAGGGCCCACCCAGTCTCCTAACCAATGGTTTTCGGAGGGCTTGTTCCCCTCAGGTAAAGCGGCCTGGGCGTGAAGCTGACCATTCACCTCCAACTAGTGCCGAGGTCAAGAAAACGTGGATCTATACATCCATTCCCCCATACGTCTTCATGGCCTAGTACTTAATTATTTAAGCACAGGAACAACTTTACCAACTTTTTCTTTTTTTTTCCTTGGCACTACAGCCCCAGTGGGCCTAGGCCTACCTCCATGAACTTCTCCGTTCACTTCGGTTTTTCTAAATCTTACAGATTCGGTAGGACTCCTTGGGCGGGTGATCGGCTCGTCGCAAGGCCTCTACCTGTACACAAACACAGAAAAACGCACACACATAAACTAAATATCCATGCCCTGAGTAGGATTCGAACCCACGATCCCGGTTTCCAAGCAGGCGAAGACAGTACATGCTCTTTACCAACTTTACCTATACATAATTCTAGGATAACTATACAGCTTCTACATTACATGTTTCGGCCACAATTTTTGGCCATCATCATGTTAGCTGAGAATGACTGTAAGATAGAATTATACATAGTTTGAGACTGAAACCGAGTAACATATTTCACACGCACTATGACGTGGATATAAAGCATTAGTATGAAGTTTGGGTCTGAACTATTTCATCGAGATGTCCGATTTGAGCTACAGCCTAATTTGAATATAGCTCTTATTTGTGTTCTATAACAGCCTTGATAGCTCAGTCGGTAAAGCGACTGGTTACGAGCTGGACGATCGAGGGGTCGGGTTTCGAGTCCGGTTAGGATCAAGAATTTTCTCTTCTCCACGTCTTCCAGATTTGTTCCGGGGCCCAACTAGCCTCCTCTGCGATGGGTACCAGGGGTCCTTTCTCGGGGTTAAAGCGTGAAGTCGACTACTTAGCCCAAACTAGTGCCGAGATCAGGAAAGTGTGGATTTATATATCCATGCCCCCATACGCAAACATGGCATAGTGCTTAGTTAGTTAAGCACAGGGATTAATTTACCTCTTGTAGTATATACGATTACGTGTTATCTGATGCCCGCGTACTTCTACAGAGTACACTAATTATTTTTAATTGAACAGACAAATACGTTTTCATATGTGTGGGTCAGGTCCTTTTGAAAATAACCTCAGAAATGTACGAAAGAATTTATAACTCTCGCGACGAAAATTTACGAGTTGGCTTTGTATTAACTTAGCTAAAAACATTAGGTAAGACAAGGCTATGACACCGTCCTGAAGATTCGCTATCATCATCTGAAGTTGATTTGCTTCGGTCTTATTCGTAATTTTGTAGATCCGAGTACAAGTGCAGAATTTACATTCCAAAAATTGATTATCGTTTACTGTAAATTATATTGAAATAAGAAATCACCCAACGTCGTGGTAGAGTAGTATTCGTAGGTCCCAGTTTCATATCTCGGTCTGGAGATCGGAAATCTTGACTGAGGGAGTTCATAGATTTCCTCAGCCCTTCAAAATAAATGTTGGGATAGTACCTGAAATAATCCATGGTCGCTTCCTTTCAAACACTCTTCAATTCATTATTAAGTAACCATCCTATTATCGACAATGTATAATCGGAGCTACGGACAGCGTTCTTAAATAAGCTATAAATTAACGAATACAATTAAACAGCAGATTACATTTTATGACACATAAGGCCCACTGCAGGCTGGCATACATCCTGGCGGTAAGCCACCTAAAACTTTCATGATGGCGCTTCAGAATTTAGTATCATATTCTATTATAATTGTCACATGACCCTTCAAATATGACCAACAAAAAATGTCATCCCTCCACATCATCCTTCATCCCTTTCGTAAATTCATGTCCTCCTCTCTTTAAACCTTACTGCTTTCCAATTCCCCGTATTTGTCTCTCCTATCATTATTGGTTTCCTCCTTCCTGTCTCCCTCACTTTCCAGTTAAATTTTTCCTTCACCCAGTTTTTCGTGCATGTCTTTACCCCCTCCTTACATTTCTCCCGTATTATTTCCCATCCCCTTGAGGCCTATTTGTCTAGCCGTTCGTTATTAATCTCCTCATGCCTAAGGGACGGTGCACTGGGTTTCCCCCATACGTAAACGGAACTGATTATTATTTATATATAGGTAATTTTTTTAATTCGCTTAGTAGGGGTGAAGTCTAGCTGGGTCCTCTCAGCACGTCGGCCACTGTTTGGCCTATTGTACCTGCCCCGGGTGATTATGATGATGGAGAATTTGGTGGAATGAAGATTGGCAGGGGAAACCTAAGTACTCGAAGAAAACCCGCCCCAGCGTCACTTTGTCCACCACAAATCTCACTTGACCAGACCCGGGATCGAACCCGGGCAACCGCGGTTGGAAGCCAGAGACTAACCTCTTGAGCTATGGCGCGGCCTATATATAGGTATTTCAATTAACCATTTCATAGTACAAAAATAGAATTTCTCATCAGAGGGAATACGGTTATTGATCGGGTTCCTTGTCCCCAATATTTACACTTAATTTGAACAGGCACAGCCACAATATTTTGTTACTCCCAAGAACATTTACCGATGGTCATAAACTACTTTCTTAAGAAGTCAGATATGTTCGAAATTAGCTTCTCTGTCCAGCTGTGACTTTTATTGTCCTTTTCACAACTTGGAACTAAAGCGCTACATTACAATCCCTCAACAAAGCCAATACACGTAAACACACACACACACACACACAGAACATTTTCGGCAGGCCTGTGTTTACCTTTCAAAATGACTGTTATTTTCTGGTTAGGAGAATTAGAGGAGTCATCAAGCAATAGACATTTTCAGAAGAGACAGAAGAACTCTGCTCACTGTAGGTAATTACCCCCAGAATAGTATTTCTTACGGTTCTGTTGACGCATTTAAACAATTCTAGATACGGCACC